GGGGGAGGGGAGGGGGAGGGATTGGGCAAGCATGAGGCGCAGTTAACGGCTGGACTGGGGCCAAGCTGAGTTTGGGGTTTACGGTTGGCTCGGCCAAGCTGAGGTTCAGAGTTGGACTTCGACGAGGAAGAGTCTTGTAGAGAAGAACTGGGCTGAGAGCGATGTGGGTCAGGACGACACTGACGACTGAGAGGTGGACTACGGAAAAGACTGAGGACGATGCCGACATCTGGGATGAAAGCAGCTGGGGTAAGGAGGGGGCGGGGCAGAAGATTAGTGGAGGGCTTCGAGCTGGCGGCGTGGCACGCGGGCTGGCTTGAGTACTCCAGGAGGGTGTAAAACTAGAGGGAGAAGGGCGAAGGAGGCGGGGCCAAGGGCTGGGCTGAGGCGGAGTTAGGGCCTGGAGGCGGGCTCACGTCGAGCCGTGGACCAATCAATGATGGAAGACTAGGGTCCTGAGGACCTGCGGAATCGCCTGCGGGTTCGGCTGGAGCGGTCAGGCTGGAGCCAGAGCTGCAACTCCTAGTTTTGGGATGGAAGGGAGCCTTGTGCCGCAGCCGGAGGCCCAGGCTACCGCCCAAGAAGTGTGGGGCCTCCCTGGAGCCCATGGTCCAGCGCCCACTCAGTCCCCTGGGCCGGGGCGGGCGGATCCATTGACTCTGAGAGCAGGAAGGAGTCTGGAGGTTCCACGCGTGACATCACAATCGCCTCCAGATGTGGGCGCGGCCAGGGCGGCATTTCCAAGGAGACCCTTGCACACTGCCCCTGCCTTGCTCCCTCCTCTTCCCTCCTTCCCTTCCTTAGTTACTCCCTCCCTCCCTTTTTCCCTCCCTCCCTCCCCCATTCAGCTGTTCTGGTGCCCAACCTGGAACCCCACCCCCTGTGCCGCAAGGGCGGGGGGCGCTCCTCAGCCCGCAGGACTGGGAAGATTCTGTACAAATGAGCATCACTTGTGAGTTTTGAGTTAGGCCCGTGTGCCCCAATTAATGCTCTACCGAGAAAGAGAAAACGAGCCTCTCCTTTTCAAGATATCACCCTACTCATTCATTATGAAGTCTCCCCTGTGTCCAACCTCAGTCACTTCTGCTGTAGGAGCTCTGGACTGCTGCTTCAGTGGGAGCTCTCGTTGTGTCTGTGAAACCAGAGAGCAGACTGCCTTCCTCAGATCTGAGGAGAGTTACTAAGTCCCTTCCCTTGGGAAACAGAATTATGATTGTCATGGCTTCTTGGGGATTAGAGGGAAGTTAATCAGCAGACCTTGCATATACGCCTCTTTCATGGTGACCTGGGAGAGAGCAAGGACAGTGGAGTCAGATAAAGCGGAGTTTGAATCCTAAACCTGGCTCAGGGCCCCCTG